ATCATACAACTCTGAAAATATTTGCATATCTAAGTATTGTATATATCACAGTTAGTGGATGCTTGGATACCAAAAAAACATATACTGCAAACACCACAAAGGAGCTAAGATTCTGAATGTAGTTGGAGCTTAGATGAGATCAATAATGTAAAAATGAGTTTAATTTTCTTCACTTAATACCTTGTTGTGGAAAGAAGAGATCTTATGAAGTATTATTCTCACATATAATGCTGTCATTTAACATAAACATATAATAGTAGTATAATTTATTTAGGTTAACCATATAATAATTTTGCTTGAAAAGATAATATCAAGATTTACTATTTTATCAGGAAATATTATCATTTTAAACTAAGCTAAACTGTACCAGAAAATTACTTGAAAAATATGCAAAGTGTTGCTTCAGTTGGATTCTCATTTTTCTCAAACATAGGAGTGATCTTCTGTCCATGAAATTTCATTGATCTTATAAGTGAAAGATGAAAGTTCTGCATATTTTCTAGGCTCACCAAATAAGTTCTGTTCTAAATATCGTCTGAGTCATGGATTATTTTAATAGTAATTCATCCTATGATGTCTATAGAACTCAGACTTACAACTTACCTCCATCCTATAGCAACTTTGAAGATGTAAGAGACACAGCCTTGTCAGGAGGTTACAACAACTTCATTAACTAAAGACTACCACAGGAAATAAAAGTAAGGATAAGGTCCTTAATTTGACTATTAAATAGTTTATGAAGAATAAGTAGTAATTTAATGCACAGGGAAGTTGGGAGAGGGTTGATTTTCAGGCACAGTTAGTGGATTTTAATGTTAATTATACCTGCAATTCCAAAATTTCATGGACTTATTTAGAGGTGTATTAGCAAAGATTAAGAAAATATTACACTAAATGTGCTGTAGGGAGACAATAGTAGGCAAGTGATTTTTAGTATTCCATTTATAGTTTGATTTACACAAATCACTGTCGAGCAGTATTATTTGTTTCCCCCCAGAATACTCACATTTAGCTTACTGTGTCCCTATGAAATATGTGATTAAACGTATCTTTCCGAATAACATTAGCACCATCAAACTGCAATTAATTCACGTATCATATTGAAGCTCAGAGTTCCTAAATTGAGTTGTAATTCTTAAATCACATTCATTCAGGAAGACTTGAGTGCCTACTTGTTTAACAAAATCTTATAAATGATCTCTCACAAAGGATATAAAAATCAACACATTTCTTAATGCGTTAATTGTGCTCGCTTCAGTGTTGTGTCTATGAAAGCTTCCTAATAGTGAGAGAAATGATGGCATTTCCATTTTAAATTGCAAATATAATTGCTATTTGAAATGTCTTTTTGTTTCTACCTTAATTGCTTATTGACAGTAGAAATTTCCCCAAAACACTAATAGAGTATTTAACATAATTTCATTTATTGAAAAAAAATCCAAGGGAAAATAACATACAGCTACCTGAAACTATTTAGCAGAAGGAAAATATCAAAAGGAAATTAAGTTAAATCTAAACTCTGTGATCTCAAATGTAACTAATATTCCATATAAATTTAACACAATGTGTATTTGATTAAACTTACACATTTAAATATATTGGTGAGATTTAAAAATAAAAATAATATCCTGGAAATTCAGGACAACAATTAAGAGCTATACAGAAACAAACTGAAACTAACAAACTAGTCCCTACTTTACAGAATTTACCATCATTGCATTGAAAAATAAAAATACATTTCAACTAAACTCATGGAAAATTAGTACAATGAAATTAAATTCAATCAGTTAAATATTCCCTTGAGAAAACTATTGCAGTTTTTCTACCCAGAGTTTAACCTCTGCCCTATTACAAATTTTGAATTCCAGTTTCGTAATTGCAATATACTTAGCATGGGTTCAGTGTAGTGAAGTCACTGCTCTGTACTTATTAAGCCTTAAATTAATATTTGTTAATAAAATAATTCATAGATAAATGTAAGGAATATTTCTTTCTCTCATTTCTGTTTCTAAGTGGACAAGAACACATGAGGGATTGATTCCGAATTGACATATTTCACATTAAAATTTCAAGTCTTTAAGTCTTTCTTTTTCTGTGTAATGACAACACATTTTTACTTATGCATTTTATGGATATTCAGCAAAGATTTTTATATTAGACTTGAAAAAAATTCTGTTTATTTTGTGGTAGCTTTTCTCTTAAGTCAAAGTAGAAAATGGCAGACATTGCTCTTTAAAAATAAGCACTAAGAAAACTAATTAAAGTGGTTAACCACAAAGTGAACATTATAGGAAAGGAAATAGCTTGGGATTGAACCCTATGGTTTTATTGTTTTCACAGAAAATGCAATAACTCCTCATTGACATCAACTGCCCAGTTGGAAGAAGAGTAAACCTTCTGCTTTGTTGAGACACCGATGGGACATTTAATAAATAGTCATCAACCAGGAAGCAAATGTATGGGGCCAGGGGTGGGTGTGGGGGAGGGAGTGAAAATTTTTTCAGTTTGTTGAGTGGCCCTGATTTCTGAAAGGCACATTAAAACAAAGTTTTGTAATAAGGAACATGTATTCAAAAGAATCTTTTGAAATCAGTCTATCAAAATCGTACTAGTCTGTACCATCGTTTCAATCACTAATCAAAACATACAAACAAAAACAGATCATGAGGAATACCACAGCCAGTTTCAAAGTCTTAAGTACATAACTAAATTAATTATTCTTCAAATTACACATTTTATTGATTGATAAGTTTATTATAAAGTCTTTAAAAATGCATGTTTGGTGAAAAGTTAGTACAGTTGTAATTTGTATTTCATCATATTTAAAATATAAAAGTAAAGAGTGGAGTTATTTTTACTATTTATTACATGGTATACTGACTAGCTGAGTTCTAATTCTAATTATTGTAATTATGGTTCGTTGCCATGCCAAAGTCAATTCTGTGATATATGAGAAATGAAATATCATCAGTTTCAGTGTCAGTTGCACGACAATGTAGTGAACCATGAATCTTTCAACTCTCTTAAAGAAAAGGTAATGGTAGGCTAAACTTCTGACTGAGTCACATGGAACCAGTAAACATTTTAAACCAGAGATACATAAGATATTGCAATTTGTGATAGAACTTAAAAACAGGTATCGGGGGAAATAAGAAAGAAAAAGAAGAAAGAGAGAGAGAGACAGAGAGAGAGAAGAAGAAAGAAAGAAGAGGAAGGAAGGAAGAAAAAGAAAAAGAAAGGAGGGAGGAAGGGAAAGAAAAAAAGAAAAGAAAGAGTAGGTATGTATGTAAAGTACCTAAGAAAAGACTCAGATTTTCAAAAAGGAAAATACTGTCCAGTACATTATATAAATCCTACAATTATGATTGGGCAACCTTTTCTTTGAATTTGGGTTTGATGAAAAGTAGTAATATCTGGCAATATTTGGCACCTCTGGCAACTTTCATGAACTTAGTGTATTTCATCACATCTAAGATGCTGTCAATCCTAGGGTGCATTTTATATCTTACTACACAGAAATGCTGCCAATTTCAGTTAAAGTAGGCCCAATTGTAGAAGTGTTAAAATGTAGAGAAGCAAACATCTTTGAACTGACGAAACATGGTGATGCTCCTAATTAATTGGGATCAATTATGAGCAGTAGGAGATTACATGGCATAGTCTCTCTTCCAGAAAATTAAAAGTTCCATTACTAGATTCCTTTCTATAAAAGAACAACAACAAATGTTAGCATTAAATCCGTTGTTAAAATGGAAAGGGGGAATATGCTGGTGATTCTAGCTCATAATAAATACATAAAATTAGGAAAAGGAAAGTTGCTAAAGAGGTGTTCCAAAATTTTCATTATTATTACTCATATTAAAGAAGGAGCAACTTAACACAATTTATATTACATTTACCCCATTCATTTAAAATTTCTGCATTTTTATCCATTTGCTTGCAATTGAAGTAACTGAACATTTGATTTGAAAAAAAAAAAAACACCAATCCTAATTCTCAGTTTGTTGGTTTACATAAATGATCCAGAATGCACTTGAGACATACATTTTATTACCATCTCAATAAATTTGATTGCTTTCCACTTCTGATTGCCCCATTGTTCTTCATGATCATCTTCAATTTCTTAAAATTTTAATCAAAATTAATTTTGAAGTACCAGCCAGTTCTCATGAACTTCTCAAGTATATTCTTATAGTATAAGAGTTTAGAACAGATTTTAGAATTTTATAAAGGCTTAGTAATACAATTGAAGCTTTCACTTACAGTACTTTCTCTGTGTAGGATTACTTACAAAAAAAGGAAATTTGATTGTTTCCTGGAAAGGACACATGAATATTCAAATATTCTAAATTTGTGGGTTTTTTTAATCAGAATTTTTTGCAAAAGCCTCAGTCAAATCACCTTAAAGATAATTGAAAGAAGGAAATGAGTTAAGCTTTCTTTAGACCTAAAACATATTTATTGATATTATTGTCTATGACAATGCAGAAAAAAGATGTAGTAATAAGGGACAATTGCTGTGAAAATTGGGGTTAGATTTCACAAATGCTAAGCTAAGTGCCCCAGATATCATTTACTTAAATCTCTTTGGTTTGATAAAACAGATGGTTGACTGAAATTTTGAAAATTTTTCAGTATGACTAATTTATTCAAATAACTCATGATACTCATTTGTTTAATTTAAAGGACTCAGCTTAGCTCAGTTCTATCACTACCTTGGTATTCCAATGGTACCCTTTTGAACTATGAAAATATACAATAAAATTTCAAGTTTATATTTGTGTCATATTTTATCTACAAAAGTATAACTTTTTTTTACATGTATTCCAAATAGAGGAGAGTGCATCAGGGTGTTCCTATTAAAATTTCTTCCTACTGATGTCAAAGTGTATGAAGCAATGAAGATTTATTCCATGATAAACATGACCAATAAATCATGTAACTAATCTCCTTTTGGTGATAATTGAACATTGCTCAACAAATACACATACCGCTTGTCATACCTTACCTGGAAAGAGGCTTTATTGAACATAGCTGTAAAATTATATTTGAAATTGAATTACTGAATTTGCACAAACATTTCTACAGATTTGTCTTAAAAAATCAAGCTTCATCATTTTTCCACTACATTTTGTTGTGCTTTTTGTATGAATATTTGCAAATGTTATAATTTAAAACTCATATCCCAATTACTTGCATAATCAGTTTTTTTTTTAATCCTGGGGAGTTGAAAGAACATATAATAATAATAATAATACTCTTCTTTAGACAAAAGTCTTTTTAAATGAAGTTAAAAGCTGAGATAATTTAAGGAAAAAGATCTCCAAATTTTTATAACCAACAGGTTTTTAAGTGAAATTTACAATGCATTGGAAAACTGGCTGGTTAGAGTATGATTTGTCCTCAGGTAGCTCAAAATCATTTTTACAGGTTTTCATTTTTTTGTAAAAGTGTTTTTTAATCTTGGTAAAATAATAAAATAATATTTCACAATTTGCACAGAGTCTGACTAAAGGGCAGAGGCGTATTACCCTCAGTGGTTAGAATAAAGCCAGATTTTTCAGGCCCAGTTCTGCTGTAGAGTTTGATATGCACTGCAATCACAAACACTTTTCTTGTTCCCTCTCAAGCTAGGGCCAATTTCATTTCAAATGGAGGTTAGAGTTAAAAAAAATTACTTTCATGTTTTACCACCTTCTGCACTAAGTATTATCTTAACAACCTTTTGCTCTGGTTGACCCATTTAATAACCTGGAAGAAAAAAGTGTTGCTTTCATGTCTGGTCTCAATGAAAGTTATTTTCTAATGGACAATAAGCCGAAAGGCCATGGCTGTCTAGGAGGTTAAGCAAGGAATTTCTGGTCTGCATGGGCTTACGCAGCAGCTTCGGTCCTTTCTTCTTTAGAAGCGGCTCTGTTGTCTTGCCTGTGATTCGCACATTTAGGCTCTGTAGTTTGTTTAGAAAATAGTTTTACACAAACCACTCTTAGCAGTGCAAGCTTCTGAGTTGAGAATTATTCAGGCTTGTTTCATTGAAGGCACTTGGTTTCCATGGCAATTTATAAAAGATGGTGGTTTGGTTTCTTCATTGGAACAGATGACAGTAGTTTGGGTGTTCAAGTGGCCGCAAGCCAACTCCGATAAGCCTGTGTAACGTGTAAGCCCAGGTTTACCGTCCTGGAGAGTAGTGCATGCAAAAAGAGACAGCACACAGTTATCTAGCTTAGCCATGGAGGGAAAAAGAAGAAGAATAGTAATAAAAGTGGGCGGGGATAAGGTAGGGAGGAACATGAATGCTTTAAATAATTCTGAGTTTGGGTTATTTTCAAGGAAACGTAACAGCCAAAGGTAAAAGGGCCTACATTTATTTAATTCTCTACGCAAAACCTTCTTGAAAGGAAAATAAATGCCAGCTCTTCACGTACCCTGTTTACAGTGAGGTTTTTGTTGGCAGGCCATTAGGTTTCCATGGTAACAAGCAAACTATTCATTTGAAATAAAACCAGCCATGACTTTGTGCTTTGACGAGGATTTCTATAGCTCTTTTTTTTTTCCTTTTTTTAAAATTTTTTTTATTTTTCCAGAGTTCAACCAGATGACGCTGTAATCTTTTAGCCACAAAGCACCTGAAGGTCTCTTCTCTACTCAGGTCAAGATTATCTTTTATGTGTGGTTTGGAATAAATTATGCTTCCATGATGTCTTTTTATCCCCAGTGCTTAAAAAATTTTGTTTTTATTATTTTAGAGTCAGCAGTCAGTGGAGGAATCTTTGGTAGTTTGTTTTCTCAATGTCCATTTACAAAGACTCTTTCTTCATGCCAGTGCCTGGTGAATTGTTTATAGCCTCTGCCGGGATAAGGTCACCTTCGAGGACTTAAGATAGAGATGAGGACAATAACCGGGAAAAGCCATATATGAACTAAAATTCCAACAGCACCATCAACGGAATCTAGAGATAAAAAAAAAAGTGCCAAAAAATAAAAAGGAAAGGAGAATAAGCATTTCATGTAGCTACTAATACTAGTTTGGTAAACTGATAGAAAACAACATGCAGAAATTGTTTTTGGAAAAAAATAGTTTTTGTTTTATTTATCTGATTTATTTCTAAAGCAAATGAAAAGGAATATATACTTAGGCATTCAATAAAATAGAAATATTTTTAGATTTTTAAATTGATGTCCTATAAAAACTCATTCAGAATATATTTACATTGGTGTGCGTTTGACCTCAATCTCATGATTTTGCTAGTGCTATAAAAGCATGGACAAGTGGAAAATTCTCAGAAATGGTGAGGTTTCTCTTTTCTTTTTTTTTTAAATCTTCCAGAATTATTTAAGCTTGAAGACAGAGAGAAAAGTTACTCTTGATGTAAACTAGGAGGCAATGGTTATTTGGTAAATTCACTATTATAACAATGGATTGTCTATATTAGATTAGTTCATTATCTGTAAATTATGTAAAAAGAATTTCTCTTTAGCTCAACTTTTAGAAATGTCATGAAATTCAGTCTAACTAAAGGATTATTCCCATCAATTGACCTGAGTGTCTTACTGTAGTTGGTATAGCCTCTTGCCCTGGTGTTTCTGTTAGAAAACATACCTTACCTAGGAGGGCAGACACAACCATATTTAATCATTTATTAACCTGCCTAAAGTTACAAAATGTTTCTCACCTAGGAAGGAGCTGGGTTCTGAAGACAGAGACATGTAATCTCAAGTCTTAATGACATAGACCATGCCTCCATTCTCTTCCTGGGAAGGATGGGGAACCTTAGTGGTTAGGAAGGGCTTTTGCCCTTCAGGGTGATCTGTACTTAGAATTTAGCATTAATTTAACATTTACCAAATGGTATTCATCAAAATAAACTTAATAAATAATGGTTAAATAGAGACAAATGCCACAGAGTACCTTCTTATGCCAAGTAGAATATCTTGGTTTAATTAGGATTCTATCCTCAATTTTATAGAGGGGAAGTAAAAGATAGATATAGGTATATCCACTAATCGATATAGGTATATCCTATTAAAAACAGACATGCATTTCTCTGGTTTTACTAATGTAGAAAAAGAAAACTGATCATGGAAATGTTCTATTGTATAATAGTGACATCCTGATGGGCTTCCATACTCATATCATTGTGGCTACTCTTAACCATTTCTGCTTTCTTTTGGAAAGTTTTAATTCAATTTATTGAATTTAATTTATGACAATTTTCAGTGATTAAAATTGAAAGTGTAAAATTTTCGTGTGAAGTGGTAACTGCCTTTGGTAAATATAATGTTACTGTCACTGACTCATATTCTGAAATTCAAAAGAAGCTGCATTCTTCTCTGAGAAGAATGTGTGCTTTTCTATGCATTAGACAAACCTGGTTCATTCAGATGTGTCTGCTGTTTTTCTGAAGTAAAATTAGCCAGACTCAGGAAGAAGATTTTACTAAGTGTGTATTTTAACTGCTAAGTGTGATGACAAGGAACTATGAGCAAAATGGCTCATTGTTATATACAATCTTAGTTTTTGTCTTTTTACAATGCTAAAGAATGGAGTCAATTCAGTTCATATGAGCAATCACTGGGTAGTTGAAAAAATTTGACTTTCAACATCTAGAAAGAAATAATTTCTCACTAAATATACTAAGTTAACAAAAACCCTGATTTTCTCTAGATTTATGCAACACGGATTTTCATACCTTTGTATATGCTAAATTATTGATGAATTATTAGTGAGAATTTAGTTTGATTGCTTCCTCTTTATATAAAGATTCCAGATGAGACTAAGAGAAATCCTTCACTTGGAGGAAGTTTTAATAGGAATGATTTTTGAATGTATATTTCAAATGTATAATATGGAGATGAAGAGTTTAGTTCAATACATAATTCTAGTGTTTTTGCATTGTCATTTTTTCAAAACTCTTCTAAAATAGCATAAATTTAAATATTGTAATTCTTGTTTGAAAATCAAAGTGTGCATTACACATATTTAAATCAAAATGATTTTTATTTTATTCATCCAAATATGACTACAATGGAATTTAATATTTTGATTTTAAAATGCTTTCAAGGATTTAGAGCATTAGATATAAGAAACTTACATGTAAAGAAACAAAATTAAATTTGTCTATTAAATTACAATATATTGATGTAATAATAGTTGTGTTACTTTAACATCTCATCACACCTCAATCTCAGGAAAAGATACTTACTCTTAGTTGTTAGATCTTGTTTTGCACATTCTCCTTCTGCAATTGATACATCATCAATGGCAATGTCACCTTCTATCCCAGGACCTCGAATACCTTCAAATATGAGCTACAAATATGAATGAAACAAACCTAAGCTGTGATTTGCAGAGCAGTTTCTATTAAGAAATTGAGGAGACAAATGTCAATAATGCTAGCATCTTTCTTATTCTTAATTTTCTTCAAAAGTTTACTTGCTTAAAACATAGACTTTCTTAACAAAAAGGAGAATAGTATCTTCCATGCACATTAATTTTTCACATCAGAAACTCTGTGTTGATTTTAAATCATAACTAAATTTAATTAAATAATACAATAAAAACATTTGGCATATATTCTCTTGTTTTTAATTCACAGGCATAAGAAAAAGTTGTTTTTATTGGGACAATCTTTTTCTGAAATAGATTCCCTCCAGGTTCCTGTAAATATATGTCATAACAGAGTTTTCAAGAAATGATTTAAGTAATGAATCAGTTCCGGGTTCTTTACAACAGTGTTATGTTTATGTGATCCAAGTCTAGAACAACAAGAGGTTAGCATTTTTGAAATACTTTGATCTTTGCAAATACATTGAATAAATCATCACTTCCCTATATTCACCTATGGTTTAACTCTATTTCACTTCTGATAATCTTTTTTTAATCTTGAAGATACTTATAAGTCTATGTTGAATGTCTAGTGGAAAACTTTGAATTTCCATTCTCTATAACAACGATGAGCATTGAGGCTTAACAAATGACTATTGAAAGAACAGATTAGTGAAAATAGATTGCCTTTATTACTAAATCATGTATATAATAACAATATAAACACAATTCAATTTTTTTACTATTGCATTTTAAAGAAATAAGACTTTTAGAATTTTCTCTAAAACCATTATACTTCCAATAAAGTTTTTTATCAATGCAAAACTGTTTTTGTCTTTTGGAGACAGTTCCTTGAAGGCAAATTTTAGATGATTTTCAGAGAAGCGAGGCTGCATTTGAGAAATCAGTCCATTGTTCTTTGTAGGGTCTCATAATTTTATCAACAAAAAGCTCAAGTTAGTAAGCAAAGGCATTTGAAATCAACTATTGTATTAGTTTTCTCCTCTCCACACAGAGGTAATCAGGAAGACACAAGTTTCACAATTTAATAGGAGAAAAAGTTTTGAGAAGTTTTTATTAATAGATTTAATTTTTATACACATTTTCCTTCTTGTCATGTTGAGATAAATGTTGATAAAGATTGTACAAAGCCATCGCCTTTGATAAAACAATGCAAATATTTTGTATCACTGAAGCCAAAGCAAAATGGCAGGTCAGAATTCAAATATTCAAAACCAAATTGGTGATTTATAAATTCTCATTCCTGAGGTAGAACTGCCAATGAAGGATTTTTTTGACTACTTAGAAATAAGTGTTTGTATTTGAAGCGTGTGTGTATTTGTGTGCTGGGAGTAGTCTGGGAAGGTATCTGGGAAATAACTTTTTTAAAAGGTTGGATTTTCAGTATTTTGGGCATATTTTCCTTTTACATGCACATCAGTTTTAAAGTAACATGTCAGTTTTTCCCACTCACATATATTTTTTACTTATATGATGCCTAGCCTTCTGAAGTGTACATGAATGTAAAGTTGTTGGAAAGAATGTTTCCCTGAGGTACAGGCTTGGGTATACGTGGATTTTCCTTACCTATATAAAGGTAAATAGTTTGATAAAGTTATCCAGGTTCTCTTATCTAAAGTACATAATGAGATCATATTTAAAAGTTGAAACTAAAATGTATAAATCCTCAAAATTTTTCCTGAACTTTTCACAATTGTTTTTCTTGGGAAACCATATTTAATTAGTGTGATACTAAGAGCATTTAAAAATTTCTATGGTTACTTTAAAGTATTAAATACCCTTCATTTTTCTACTACTTTACTTTTCCTTATTCTTTTCTTCCTGCATCACTGTGCAGGTTGTTCACAAGATCTCTACTACACTAAAGACAAAAGCCTTGAAGCAGAGAAGATGAGAAGCAATCACTTTTGTAGTCAGATGGAGAGGGAGTGTTGGGGAGAAGCTTGTGGCAAACACCAGGGAGAAGGTTAACTGGATTTAATAGGTACACTGCCTGCCAGCTGGCAATCTTGACTATAAGTGTGTATTTTACAAATTAAGAAAAGGAGAATTGTCTTATGTGTAGAGGTTTGCATAGGACTAGTACAATCCCTTTTTTATCATTTACTAATGATAAAAATAATAACTGAATTGAAACTATTGATATAGTCATAATTAGTATTTTTAATATGTATTTGTGATGATGTGATGTCACAGACTACAAGCCAATAAATTCTGAACAGGATGTTTCTTTCTTTTTTATTTTGATAATTTTGTTGGGATTGAAATTATATGGATTGCTTTTTAATTGGTTGAGTCTCACAAAAAATATTTATCATATTTTCTGTTTATGCTCTGAATTTTATTTTGAACTGTTATCATTAAATTTTATAGGTTGTAATAGATTCATAAATGGTTTCTAGATTAAGATCTAGATTAAGGTTTATAGAATAGATAATTCTTTCCTTAACATGATAAGGTAGATTACAGAAATAAAATAGTTAGGTATTAGATATAAAGAACATGTCTTGATGAAATTCTAAGTCTTTATAAAAATAAGTATATGCTGACAACTGATGAGAAACTGTAACAGTCCATTAAAATTTGATGTATTTCAACATGGAAGGTATGATGGGCATTCAATGAACAAAGCTGAATTATAGAGATGAAAGGATCTCTTGTTTAAAAAGTTAAATTACATCACATTTTTACAAGGATTCATCATGATTCTGATTACTATTACATTACAGGGCTAACACTATGCTCATTTTTTCTTTTGTACTTTTGAAACACTTGGCTTAATCAACTTGAAGAAGGAGTTAACAGGGAAGATACCTAGGGAGATAATATGGTGGTTGGGGGGAGAGAGAAGAGGGAGAAAATGTTGAAGTTTAGGTTTCCTAAAAAAGGAGGAAATTATGTAAAACTTGTCCCTCTCATAAAACTACACAGATATCATTAAATATTATTTCCCTTAATTGAAGTGACAAGTTTAAAATTTAAATGTTCTCACAGTTTGTGAATGGAATTTGGCAAATTTAATATGCAATAAAATCTCGTAACAAGATAATTAAGTCTTCGCTGGTTAATTCACATGGCAGTTTAAAAAATATGTGAACTTTTTCTTAAAATTACATCACATGAACTTGTTTCAATTAATAAACTGACAATTTCTTACAAACATAAATCTTTAAAGCATACACATATAAGTGTCAGTAAAAAGAGAAGTAGAGATACTATTCTGCTTATGCTCCATATGATTTTTTGGGAAGAGAAGAAGAGGTACAGCAGCACTAATAAGTAAGGTAGTTGAGACAATACGATGTACTTGCAGTGTTCTAACTTCAGCGTAAATGGTGCCTTCTGCAAATGTTTGCCACATATTTTCTTACTGACAAGACAAATTGCTTCTGATCATTTCTGCTGAGGGAACTTCAAATAGTTTCTGCTGGGTATTGAGGGGGTGGGGAGAAAAGGGAAGGGGTGGTGTGGGTGGTAAGGGAGGAGGTGGTGTGGGTGGTAAGGGAGGGGGTGGTGTGGGTGGTAAGGGAGGGGGTGGGGGCAGGAGGGAGAAATGACGCAAGCCTCGTATGCACATATGAATAATAAAACAATAAAAAAAAGCCTGAGTACAGTTGGAGAATTGATTCTGCACACCATTTTGAGAAAAATCAGGATCTAATATATTTTAACTACTTGCATTACTAATGTTACTCTCATTTTATAACTGGAGGAGCAAATAACTGAACTATCCTTAACCATTATAAAGGAGATTCGAAGAGAAGCAACCCAACACATCAAGATAGGCTTGGCTTTTTCTCTGAAGAAATTTTCTAAATATTAACAATAAGCAAACTTCACAAGACTCTGCCAGTTCATCCTACTGGATAAATGTCATTTGACTGTCAAAGATTTGAATCTGAAATAATAACATGAGATGTGGACTGTTGGGGAAGATAAAAAGAAATATACCCCATTGTGAGCTGCATTTGGAAAACATTTTTAGTGGTTAATCCAGAAGCTTTTATAATCTTGGCATAATTGCCCAGGAATTTGTCTCAGAATGAGACATGTAGCTAGGTGAGCATGCAATATCTCCTAATGATCATAGTATTTTCTAGATTATTATTCTTAGTTAGAATACAAAGACATGATGTATTGAGAACACCATCATTTCTTTCTTGGTCCCTAATTAGTGTTAGCTATTTTTATTTCAATTATCTATTTCCAAATCTTTAAATGAGGATAAATGAGTAAAAGATCTCTAAGAATTCCTTTCACTTAAACTAATCAAACAGATAGTATTTTGTGTCTTATAATGTCTCTTTGTAACTTGTCTCTAGAAACCATTTGGAATATATGATGAAAAAAGTAAACAATTTAAAGGGGTGGTTAGCTATTTTCCTTGGTATAGGGTATAAAATATAAGTGACATTATAAGACTAACACTATATTAATTTTACTTTTTTTGAAATTGTTGCTGCATCCTTCCAAATATAGAAAAATTCTTAGAATAAGTACTGGTGATGCTAAATTAACTCTAGGGGAAAAGTCCACAAAGAAATTTCAGCAGACTAAAATTTCTATTTGTTCTACACGATAATTTTATTTTCAGTGAAGCAAACTACTTGGACACACTCAAACAAAGGACTTCATGTTTGTTTTTTAAAGGGTTTATAGACAAAACTAATTTAAGATAACACAATTCCAGTCAAATGAAATAACAAATAATAGTGAAAGAGAGGCTCAAAATCACTTATATCTCATTTAAAACTCCATATGCCTTCCACTTGAGTTAAGAATATTTTGGAATTCTAGAAATCTGTTTGAACAATATTAAAATTTGCCAGAACTTAATTTATATGGTAATATATTTGTACCTATTGTTGCTATCTTGCTTTCCTAGCACACATTGCATACCAAAGGAAGTATTTTAGAAAAGCTTGAAAGTTTACAAATGATTTTTGTGTATAAAAGCAACCTA